GATTTCTGATGCCATTTAGTTTGAGTTCATTGACTGTATCTTATTTTATAACACGGTGCTACATTTAAAATGAGAAACAGGATTTCTGCCAACCTTATTTCACTCAGTCAATTTCTACCTTTAAAAAGTACACATTATCCGATGTTTCAGAAGGTGGACAATGTTCTTATCAGGGTCTACTTACAAACAGCAACAGTTGCATGAAATCAAGTGATTTATGTATTCTGGGTTTCGTACAATTGCGACACGGTTCAGTGACAGCGGGATTATATTTGTGGGGAGAATAAAATGACAGAAGTGATAACAATTAGATAAAATAAAGAACTTCTTCACCATGATAAAGTACAAAGTTCATCCATTCCCCGTCCAGGTCTACTGGTAGCCTAGTGCATCAGAGAACAGTATCACATATTGCACAATAAAATAATTATGACCTCGTCGCTACTTTACAACAGAGCGGCTCGGCCGAGTGAAATCTGCTCATTTGCGTAGTGGCTCCAGGGTGAGATAAACTGGCAGCGTCGAACCTCAAAAGAGACGGGAGGCGATGCCTCATCCTTCGCTTGGCAGCTTTACGTCCTTGTAGTATTTTACACCGTCCTCCACAATCAAAAGGCAGAACAACTCGGGTTTTGTCACTCACAGTTTGAACACACACACACACACACACACAGACGCACACACACACGCACACACATCAATGTTTGAGATGCACGCCCCCCGACTGGCTACTGGAGGGGTAAAAAAAAACAACAACCACAGAACGACCCGAGCTTTGTCAACATGCCTTTTGGCCTCACTAGATTACCAGCCTGTACATTGGTTTTTATCCTGCGCTTTGCACATTTTAGCAAAGAAAATGCTAGCGTGAAAAATACTATAAATACTATCCAGGATAGGAGGACAGGAGACATTTGGTGTCAGTGAAGCCTTGCTCACCTCACTTGGATTCCTGCTTACTCAGGAGTACGGGGGCCAAGTGGCGTGACTTCCTGCCTTGAGCAAACCTCCAGAAGGAGACATTCTGAGCGGTGTTTCTACTGGGAAGGTCTCCACCTTCATATGGAATGTGTTTATGTAGCAGATTCCAACTCCACCCATTAAATAGCCCCAACTATGGGGGGGAAAAGGAGGCTCTTGTGAAGTACTTGGTCATGCTCCTGATATAATCAAAACACATTTAAATAGTATTACTGCCTGCAGTTCAAATGAAAGGAGATCGGGGAAACAGCTTCCTTGAATTAGAAACCACTTCTATGCTGCAAAGTCAGCAGAGACACTACCGGTCGAATGTGCTTAAAAGACTGTTTGAATCAGCAACACAACTCCGTCAAGTGAAGTCAGTAACCGAAACAATAAATCAGAACAGAGTATGGATACTTAGGCGCGATCTCACAATGCCTTTAAGTCTTTAACGTAAAGCGAAGCAGGCAGTGACCTTTGTCACTTCCTGTGGCTCACAGAACATTGCAGGCGGCTGCTGTAGCAGCGCGGTGCGGGCCGTACCACTTCCTGAGCCTACAATCACAACCGGCTTCCTGCATTCGTCAGACAGACAGCAGTCTTCTGCTAAAAATTGGAATCTCAAGCTATTTATAAACTCAATTAGAACACATTAGACTTAAACCGTAGCGTTGGCAGATTAACAGTGGAGTCCCGGTAGACCCACAAGCTAAGTGAAATCCGCAAATCGTACAATCTCATTCTTTTCAATGCTACAGTGAATAACCGTTGCATTGCGTGGAGACCGCTAAAACAGTTTGTACAGATTAAGGTCTCAAACAGTCACACCAGGGCTATATGTGGGACAAAGAGCACAGTTGTGTGTTGATTAAGTAATCTTCCGCTGTCGGCTGATAAAACTATATAGTCATTATTGTGGCGTTAGTGTGAACTGATACATTCCCTTTAAACTTTCAAATGATCAGAATAACTATTATGCTATGCTACATTTACAGAATGTATGTTTACGAGCCACAGTCAAATATCTGTCAGAAAAGGCCGGACTTGGATGAGAAAATGTTTCTGAACCAGATCTTGTTTAAAAAAATGTTTTTATTCCAAAATATCAAAAGCCCTGGTGTACCGATGGAAATTAGACAGAATAGTTTGTAGCACTTAATGTAGGGCGGGTGGGCCGGGTCAGTATGCACCAAATATAGGTAATTTTATATCACTATGACAATATAGATCACATGTATATCTGCTAATCAAATAGATAAATAGCCTATATGAAACAACATGATTTAAAGTCCCCTACATTTTAGGTATACAGCATATATTGACATGCATGCTCACAAATACAGATTGAAATTAGGTTTAACATTTCAGTATATACCATTTTGACATAATGGTAATCCATTGAAAGATTATTATCAAATAGAATTATTGGCCAGCCCTCCCTTATATCAGAGCATACTTTGATTTGGTGGGGAAAAGGTACAATCATGAAATGTATCTGGATGAGAGAGATTATATTCAGGTTAGCACAATTTAAATATATAGGGAGGCAATATTAGGCCCTATAAAGCAGATATTTGTATGTTGTATTACAATGTCTCATATATTTTGCAGAAAATCATACCATCAATTTGAATTACAATAGATTCCTAGATTATTGTGGCCTGCACCCCACACAGCCACAACAAAACAAAAAACCTGCAACATGCAATTCAAGAGCGGTTTATTAAAAATGTGCCATCTTTGGAGGAAGTAACGGAATGCTTCACTAATCCCAAATCCCAAACTACAGATGCGCGATTACGCAACTGCGCGACAAGGCTTGGAGTCAATCTGCGGTCCGATCACACAGCTCCACTGTGTGGTTAACGTGTACTGCTGATTTATAGTGTATTCGTCACACAGTCGCCGTATTGCTCTTATTAATCGATGTGTATTTCTTAGTGCAACACGTCTCAGATCTCACCAAATCCGACCGAGGACGGCAGGAACACCGCTACTGCATCGGCCATCTAACGTGACCTGCCTCGGGATAACGTGGCTATCACACACACCCAGATGGTGCCTCGTCGTTTATACAAATCAAACTGATGTGGGGATAATATTAATGCAAAATTAACGTTACGTCATAAAATGCAATATGCTACGTCGGCCCAACAGACAATTTAAGTATGACACATGCATGTTCTTCGTGTGTCTGTGTATGTAGCATTAGCATATAACCCCCCCCAACACACTCGATTAGCTCAGTTTCAAGGTGGTGCCTCCCCGACACGTTGCCAGCAACTGGTACCGTTAGCAGCCTCTGGCCGCACCGGCTCACCCGCCCTAGCCTGCTAACGGCTATGTGTCAGATAAAGTTCTTTGGCTAACACTGGAAGCTAACACGAGCTAGCGTCGAGTCGTTAGTTTAAAACGTCAGCTCGCTGTGCCGAGCGTTATCACCTCGGGTGTACCGAACCCCGCCCAGCTCCGCAAAGCGAGGCGATGTCAGAGGAGCTAAAAACTCGCGCCGGAGACGCTCCCCGACGCCGTTTCTAGCGTTAGCCGGCGCTAGGTAGGCTAACCGGGCTGCGGTTGCCATATGCGACTGGAGCATAAAACACGTCGTATCGCGCACGCCGCGCCTGAGCTAAGGTCACCCGGTAACACGATACTCACAGGATGCCAGAGCAGGAGGTGCACACGAAGGAGCCCACGGTCATGTTGGCATAGGTTGGGCCGCGCTGGTCGCAGTCAAAGCACTTTCTGTTGGGAGGCAAACTCGTCATTTCTCTCAGCATCTTTAGGTGTTTCTCCTCTTGTTTTCGTTTCGCGCTGGCCGCCATGGTGAAGGTCACGCCGCGGGATTACTAAAAACCGAAGGCTGGAGGGTCCGATAGTTTCAGCGGTGTTTTTTTTCAACGGTTGCCGGTCGGCGCGTGAGGCGGAGAGGGAATGGGTGGGTGGCTCTGTTGTCAGGGGAGAGAGAGAGAGAGAGAAAGGGAGGGGGGAGGGAGGGGGGCTCGCGTCTCCTCGAACAAGGACTTCGAGGCGTTGGATCGATAAGACGGATAACGGAACAAGATCGTTTCTGCCGTCGACTTCCGTCTTCGCCTGGATCCCGTTATTCCTGCAACCGCTACTCTTTGGTCCACGAGCGTCTTGTACTCGTTATCTCTCAAGCTGATGCTAGATTTTTTTTCTTCAAATCTGGTTGCTTATCCAACCAGATTTGAAGATAAGATAAAATCCAACTTTTATTTTAGGAAACGTAATTCCTACGTAGTAATCATTCTACAAAATGATGTTCCGTTGTCCTGTGTGTAACGCGTATTACCCAATTTTGACCGGCGTCAATGACTATTTATAGTCCTGTGGTAGATATTTATTGTATTACTTAATTTGGAATTATTGCATCATAACGTTGTTTTGAATACATTACTGATCGTTAAGTGCGCGGGGAGCGGCTCGACCGAAGCATTACGACGGCTGGAAAGGGACAGGAACTATCTTGCTCATTGAGTGAGCTCGCTTGGTTCGAGGGTTGTACTCATGATGGCGCACAGGCCGCTGCTGCTCTTTTAACACAAGTGCCACCACGCGGATTAGTATTGTCACGGCAACACTATGGGGTGGGTCAATGAGGCATATGGGATTGTGGTTGGTGTGTTCATTTCTGTCGTTTACGTTTTGGACTTAAGAAAATCATGAGCACAAAATGTATTTTTCATAAAACTATGGACGCTCACATGGAAGTTCTTTTAAAGGGAGTGAAAAATCCACCATATGCAGGGAAAGTACTTAAACTGATACTTTTAAATCAATGAGTTCCATATAGATGTGGAATAAAAAATAGAAAGCATTTAAACAGATGAGTTATTTAAAAATAAACATTCTTAAAATTCGTAAGAAATAACCTAAAGATAAACTATAGTATAACATGAAGAAAAAAAAAGATCTAAATATCAAGTTTACAGCCACAAATATTCCCATCCCATGGAAGCAATCGCAATAACTTTGACGAAATATACTATTTTTAAAAAAGAACAAAGTCATTGTGTAGACAGTTATTACTTTTAATATAGTCAAACAGATTATTAAGTAAACCAAATGGCATTTATACAACCAGATATGATGGCCATTGTGTGCCATGGACTGCTGAACCAATAGGTCATTAGTCAAGGAAAGATACAGGACTTTACTCTTGAACGTCACCACTTTTTTTTTAAAGGCTTTGATTTCTGTCTGGTAAAAGTTATAGCCTTGATCTTACATCATAGTCACATTTAACATGAACGGCAGGTTTATTTTGCTCTCATTTCAAATCACCTAATTTTGATAAATTGGACTTCTATCCAATAAAACAAATAAAAAAAAAAAAAGGTACATGGTGACATAATTTACCTTAACTTTGTTGTCCACAAATGAGATGTGCTTTATCTCAAATGATCTCTTCAGTAGATTCATGCTACTTTCCTGTCTAATTGCCCCGAACCGATGAAATTAATTTCCGCTGTTCTATTAGGTATTGATAGGTCATTAGTTGCTGCTAATTGATTGAATTAATGGCTGCTGATGCTGTTGTAGTGGAGAGAAGTCAAGGGGTCTGCGGTTCTCGGTGTAGCCGTAGAGTATCCGGAGGGCCACTCGAGCTGCCTCTTCCTCAGCTGCTGCAAGTGTCTCTCCTGGACCCTGAGCCAGAAGCTTCTTGTTGCTGATTTATCAGACACACACACAAGACAATTGTTTACTATTAATATAAAACCAAACACTTAACAATCAAGTCTATTATGAATCATCTTCATTTCAGTCAAACCTTAAACTTGTAAAGTAACTTGATTCTAAGAACATGTTTTTTTCCAGTTCCTGTCAGTTGTGCATCAGCATCCACAACAGCCGACGTACCTGTACAGGCCAACAAAGTATAGTGGCAGGACAGTACTGGCTCCAGCCGCCCTGATGAGGCGAGGCTCCGGCAGCGCAACGTTCCTCTTAGTAAGCTCCTCCACCAACAGTCCCATGGGGTTGACTACTGTCCACATATCAAACAGGTCCTTCCCGATCAGCTGAGGGCCCAGGAAATCCTTTTGAAGGGAGAGAAGAAAAGCATATGAAATACCATACTGCTGCACAAACAGAGCCAACTCAAGGCTCTAAAGCCAGCCTAACGATATGACTAAAAGATATTAAATATTGAGTGTGCATTATACTCTGCAGCAGGACTCTTACCCTGAGGAACAATCCAGTTCTCTCTGGTCCACTGCTCTCCAGTAGAGCTCCAACCACCGCCATGAACGTGGAATGAAGCACGTCGTCGGGAACAGGACAGTCCGCACTCATGGCCAAGTCATCAACGCCAAGATTTCTCGCTACGTAGGTCACAACTTCCGAACCGGCGAGGTGCCCCGCGACGCTTTCCACCCCGTCACTCGGCAGGACCGGGAAGCTGGCCCTGCACCAGTCGGTCAGGAAGCTCCTGGTGAAGCTCTCTCCCCTTTCACGGAGCTGAACATTATCTTCCAGAGCAAGGGCTGTGGCCTCGGCTCCCACGGCCAGCCCCTGTCTCCTCCTGTGCTCCGCCTGCAGGTAACACGGATTGATGAAGGCCGTCTTCAGCACCTCAAGGGAGAAGTTCTCGTGGAGGCGGCTGCTGAACGCCTGAACCTCGGCGTGGTGATCCCAGTGAGGCTGTTGAGACCTGAAAAGGATGTCAGACAGTTTACTCGGGAGTCGTGGCTTCATCCACAGAACAGTTTTTGTGCTACCTGGAGATCGGTGCCTTTTCAGGATTGGGGCAAATTTTACCTCAACCTGTGCAGAAGGAGCCATATTCACTAGCTTTAAAACGGAACATTATAACGTTAACTACAAGTCTGCATTGACGAGATGTGTGTTGCAATTCTGCTTTCCCATAAATCCAGCGCGCTCAGATGAATATCAATACACACGTTGACCAATATAACAATTAACATTAGTGGCCTTGAGATGCTCTCTATTCGACTCTGGTGTTAGCATTGTCAGCCAACGGTTAGCCTCACCTCGGCTTCGGTGGCGAGGGTCCTTCCAGCTTTAACTTCTTGGCCATGAGGTAGGTGTACGCCTTCATCCATCGCTTCTTCTCTCTAACCTGAGATAATGACACGTTTCTGCAAACACGCTGGCAATGAATTCCCAACGTTAGCACACCACGATTTAGTATGTATCCGGACGCCATGTTGGCCAATGACAGCAGAGTGCAACCGCTTAGACTGTCCGACCCGGAACATCACGCTATATCCGGCCAGGCTGACCGTTCCTGTGTAACGACCGAATGTGCGTTACTATGGGAACAAACGTAAACATGAACTAACGGTTAAAGGAGCGGACTTGCGGTTGAACCTTTTGAGACTACACAACTGACAAACCGCTTGAAAACATACACAGGATACGAGTATAGCATTTATATTTCTCGCCGGATAATTTGCACAATGTCAACACCTGAAGCCCAGGAAAAGATGCAAGATGAAGTGGAGAGAGCGACCAAAAAGGATTGTGGAGGTGCCGGAATAACTTCCACCAGCAAAGATAAAGCGGAGGCCATGATAACGCACGGAGCTGAAGAAACCAACAACAAGCGGCAAAGCCCACTACAAGAGGCAAAGGGAAAAGACTCAGGGCAACAAATGACAAAGACGTTCCTGAAAAAACACTGTAAGAAAAATAACCTTTACTCAACACCACACCTGAACGACGCACTGTACCTGCATTTCAAAGGTCTATCCGCCATTGAGAACCTAGAGGAGTACACGGGACTGAAGTGTCTCTGGCTGGAAAGCAATGGGCTTCGACGCATTGAGAATCTGGATGCCCAGACTGAACTGCGCTCCTTGTTCCTTCAGCACAACCTCATTTACAAGCTGGAAAACCTTGAACCACTGCGAAAGCTCTCCACCCTGAACGTCTCCAACAACTACATACGCGTCGTTGAGAACATCTCCTGCCTCCCTGGCCTGAGCAGTCTGCAGATAGCCCACAACAAGCTGGAGACCGTGGGAGACGTGGAGCATCTGAGCCGGTGTCTGGCCCTCAGCACGCTGGACATGTCTCACAACCTGTTAAACGACCCTGAGATCCTCTCGGTACTTGAGGCCATGCCGGAGCTGCGCACGCTCAATCTAATTGGAAATGAGGTGGTGAAAAAAATCCCAAACTACAGGAAGACCACGATAGTGCGTCTCAAGCAGCTCACCTACCTGGACGATCGCCCCGTGTTCCCCAAGGACAGGGCCTGTGCAGAGGCCTGGGCAGTGGGGGGGCTGGCAGGGGAGCGCAAAGAGAGAGAGCAATGGGACACTCGCGAGAGGAAGAAAATTCTGGACAGTTTGGACGCCATGGCAGAGATTCGGAGGGCCGCCTGGGAGAGACGACGCCTCCGAGAAGAGCAGGAGACAGGTGAAGCGTTTTACCGGTGCACATACTGAATGTGTTTTGTTTGTTGTTGTTTTTTTAAACACCGGCTTACAATCTGTTCTGTTTCAGGGGCCGAGGCTTTCACCACTACAGAGACTACATGTGAGGAAAACGACACCCAGCGTCTGACTTCGCCCAACGGAGAGAAGATCCAGTCCTTTGTGAGGGACTGCCTGGATGCCCAGGACGAGGGGTTCTTGCACAGCCGATCCACAGAGGGATCCTGGGAACACCAGTCCAACTGTGGGAATCTAGAAGCAGGGCAGCCAGGTCACGGCTTCCAGAGGGATCCGGTCGAGAAGGACGACCAGGAAAAATCACAGAGAATCCAGATTGTTGGAAGTCAGGCGGTGAACACGAGCGAGTCGGCTGACAGGAAACCGCCTCCTCCGCTCAGGGCCGGTCCTCCCAAAGCTGACGGGTCGGTACCAGCACGCGGTCCCGGACCGCTGGTCACGGAGCTGGAGGACGAAGTCCAGCTGGAAACCATCCATCTGCCGCCGCACCGCTCGCTGCGCGTTGATGACCTGCCCGACCTGGAGGACGCGGACACGGACACCTTCTCTCCTCAGAGAGTTCACAGAGCCCTGATAGAGGTCATATCCGGAGGCAGTGAGGAGGACGGTCCAAACGGGAATCGGGGCGAAGGCATCCCGACCGCTGGTTCAGATGAAATGTCAGAGTTCTTAATGAGCGACTGCAGTTCTCCATCACTGGTGTATCCAGAAGACGAGGAGGCTCTTGAGACGTCTATTTTAGAACCAGCGGGAAAGTTCAAACCGAACCACACATCTTCTCCACCCCGCCGCCTGATTGAGGAGCTTGACTGACGATTAAAAATAAGTGAATATTCAGGTTTTATTGTTTAGTTCAATAAGGTTGGGGTTAATTTGTTGTGTTACAAGTTTTTGTTAAAGAATTTCAAAGCTACTTTGTTTATATGGTTGTTAATTCTAACACTGGAAAACAGAATGAATCCTGTTTTGTTTTGTATTAGGATAACACAATGTTAAGATTATAATTATCCGTTAATCAGTTGCACAATGACTTTACCGGGTATCTAAAGACTAACAAGCCAAACCTGCAGTATTTAGTTATGAAAAATAAACTGGGGTTGAGCAGTAAAAATACTTATGAGATAAATATGAGGGAGAAAAAAAAACACAGGACAACACATCGTATGTATGGTTTTAGTAAATTGTTTTACATTTCCTAATTCAAGTCACATATTACTCTTTCCCCAATGCATATTCAACAGGTCACATCTGCACACTGCAGCTGCATTTTGGTAAACTGATTTAATTTATATCTTGATGACCTCAATCCAAAACTCTTGAGTGACAGACAAATATTTACAACAAGTCATGCTTAGCGTTGAGGAAGGAGGTTTGTAATAAAAAGAAGAAAAAAAAAAAGCGAGAGACGAGATGAAATAAGAGTAAAAAAAATAAAACTTTACATGTATTATTAAATAAACCAAATGAAAATATAAGCCCCGTTGTTACCCGGGCCTTGTGCGCGCGTTACAAGGTCTTCCTCACGCGGGGGCAGAGTGCAGCGGTGAGCTAACATTTGACACAGAATTAGGGATAATACGTTCTTCCGTCACGTTGATGCCAGAAACACACACGGCGGCGCTTTGAAATCAACGTCGCAACCACACCCAGGTGTTGACGAGCCAGAAAGCTACGGTGACCGAGTACAGGATCATCTCTCGCTTCGTTCGCTCTTTGTTCTCCTCTTCCAAGTGCTGCAGCCTTCGGTTCAACTTGATGAGCTGCGGAGGAATCGGTGAGAAACACGTCTCGTCAAGTGGCCGGGATTCCGCATTTAGCCGCCAAACGGAGACGCGGACTCTTTGGAACTGACCTGACGCCGTAGCGTTGTGGCATCCACCACGGTCATGTCGTCGGGCCCCGCGTCCAGCGTGGCTTCATACGTTGACAGTGCGAGCCTGGAGAAGAGGACAGTCACTTTGAGGACGAAGTCAAACACGCGCGTTTTCCGATAACAACGGCCATTTTAAGAGATCTTTCAAACCCGAAATGAGAACGAGAAGGTCGGACAGGATGAGGAAAAAGGACAAAAGGATCAGAGTGAAGGTGAAGTGCCAGGTGGAGTTACCTGGAGTCATGCGGGGGGTTGGAGCTTGAGGCCGACCCCCCTCGCGGGGATGGTTTGCTATAGAGGTGGGGGGAAAGACAGGGTCGAGAGAAGGGGAAATAAGAGAGATAGAGCAACATAAACCGATGGCTTGCATCCACACACCTTCCATGTCCATAGGAGAACAACTACTAAAAACCACAGGCTAATCTCACATCTCATTAGACACTTTCATTGAAGTGCTTTTTAATAGTTCCCTTACCGATTAATAACAGAATATTTTCTTAATGCTTTGGTTTGCAGACACCTCTTCTTGTCTAACCGCAACTTTAGGTGTCAAGAGTTTTACTCATTCAACTTTTGAACTCTGCTTTTGTCGGATTCCTTCCCGAGGAGGGTGAAAAAATGTGCAAGATGAAAGGTGTATGTTTTATGTAAAACAAACAGAATCATATGCTTTATGGTTTTCCTGATGTAAGGGAACACATTTCCTAAAGCGGATCACTGCCTTTCTTCCAAAACCAAATCTAAATTATAAAATGGTCCACAAGGCCGAGAACGACCTCGACAAGTGGTTCAGCTCCTACAAAACGTTATGATTAATACATGCTGTATTAATATTGTTACATATGGGCATGTAATGCTTCAGTCTACCGTACAAACAACATAACCAAGGGCCAAAACAATATAAAGAAACAACGCGCCTTCCTGCATAGACAACTCAAAGTAGCTTTAATGAGACGGTGAGGAAGTCAGAACAACGACCACCAGTCAGTGCGGAGTGCTGCAGGGATGATGCGATTTAGTGGGCCAACCCGGACCTTAGTGTTGCACTGGTTCCTGTGACCAAATGCTAACGGGACTTGTTCATTGGATTTGGGATCATTGCAGAAAACGAGCACCTGTTTATGATGCTTGAACATTTTGTTGGATGTTTTGGGATTGCCAAAAGAAGAAAAAAAAGCTGACATTAGAACCAGAAACAACACACAAACTAGGCGGCGTGACTTCACGTCTCCACCGCTAAACCGAAGGCAGCCTGGCGTACGGCGTGAAGACGTGGACTCATTTAGACACTTAAGCAACCGCCTTTTTTAAGACACGTCAAAATTTCGAAATTCAAGAGATGTGTAGTAAATGAAGCAAATCTCTCGCTTGGGTTAAACCACAGACCTGATCTCAGGCTTCAAACCAAAACCCAATTAAGTGCAAAAGCTGGCGCTCATCTTGGGGCCTGAGGACTCGTCCCTGCAGCACTCTCTCGCCCTATCTGATCGATATCTAGTGCGCCACGTTTTTATTGAGGCAGAAAGCGGCCGGATGATTGAGAGGTCACCTGCGAGGGTTCTCGTCCAAGACCTCCAGGACCTGCTGGTAGGCCCGACGTGTCGTGGACTGGAGGAAAGATAAAACCCCGCTAGGGCTGTACAGGCTGTGTTCTTCTTCGGTCACGGTGAGAGGGGGGCAAGGGTGGACAGTGGCTGGGGGGGACGGGGCCGCACTGCCCAATGCCCACCATTAAGAGCAGCCAATTCAGTGGACAGGGGAAGAACAAGACAACAGAGGAAAGGAAAGGAAGGAGGAAGGAGAAGGAGAGGCAGAGGGAGAGAAATAAGGAAAATAAACTGTCCTCAACTTCACTTTGAACTGAGTGAAAGAGATAAAAAAGTAATGTTGCAGTAATAGCATTTAACCCGCCGACCCCTCACACTGTGAGACCCGGTGGTTTGTTAACATATAATAACCAACAAAAAACAGAAACAGAGATATAAACTAAAGCCACGGGAAAAATAATGATCCCGGTCTTGATTAGCTCACTCTAGACCAGTGTCTCGTTCTGGCAGGGACCAAGGACGTCACATGCATTTGATGATCGGGACATGACGGTTTGTAAGCTGCATAACCACAAAAATGTTAATATGTGCAAAGGGCAAAACCCCAAAATGTTTACCCCCCCCAAACAATAAAGCTACAGTAAAAACGGTAAAATGGTTTGAATGGTATTCTATCGGGTTATCGTTTCAAGGACTGTTGAAAGGCGAGGGTGGTCTTCAAGTAGGTTTAAAGACTTCCTCCATTATCTCTAAGCTTTTATCCTGCTCAGGGCAGCAGAGGAGGAGGTGGGTGAGGAGGGGGCGGGGGAGGGGCTGCAGCCGATCCCAGCTGACATTGGGCAAAGGAAGGGCGCAGCCTGGACAGGTCCCCTGACTATTGCAGGCCACACAGTTTATACACCAAGTAGTAACACTTTCTGCCATTTTATAGTAACCCTGTAATCATTTATCATAATAAATGTATATACCGTAGATTATTAAATCAAAACTGAGTAGTACGAAAATGATTAAGATCAGTATTAATGGATTAGCCCTACTGAAGAAACTGCTCAACGCTGTAGGCCACAAAGTTTTAGCACGAAACGGCAAACAACGGACACCCAGCTAGGTCACAAAGACGGAGGGACACAGAAAACACAGAACCAAAAGAAAGATGCGACTGCATGCGCATAGATGGAGCGGATACCAAGCAAATGATGGCAAATCCAGACCAATACTCACGCAGAATCGTTGCGCATCAGCTGATTGTTCTGACGGGCAGCTGCATTCTCACTGGCTGAGCGTTCCCGGCGTGCTCGTGTCTGAGGCTGCGACTATAGAAGATTATGACAACCGATTAATTCATGTTAAATCATGACAATTCTTCAAATGATAAGTAAATATTATGCGGTGACCTTGTAAAAAACTACTTATTGCCCGATTGCTTACCACCTCCTCACTGTCTGGAGCGGACTGCTGCTCCTCTTCTAGGAAGTCCAACGGTCGGTCACTGAGGGTGAGGACTCTGGGTGGAGTCTTCAGTGAAAGGGATTCTAGTGGTGTTGACTGGATTAGGTCCAGGTCCCTGGGTCTGGGGTACTGGGGGTCATTACTGTCTCCTGACAAAGGAAGGTGTGAATTACAGATTGACGTATTTTCTTCTTCACTTGGTTGAAACAATCAACTCGGATTCGAATGCTGAGGTTGAATAACGGCATCACGTGTTGTGCCCAAAGACTTTTAGTTTCAGTTTCATTCATATTAAACAAGACTTTGTCTCAACTGCTTTACTGCCTACTGACCTGAAATCACAATTCTCTCTGGCACTTGCATTATGACACTGCGGGGGACCTCCTGAGATCCAAGATTAGGGTCCTCGCGGCCCTGAGGAGCCACTTTGAGCATCTCAGGGATGCGCATCCTCTGGCTGATCCCTTCGGTGTAGTCCAGCTCATACTGGATACGATTCATCTCTGCCATCTCCGCCATGGGGGAAGGGAATGCCGCCCCGTTCATTTCACTGCGAGGAAGGATTTGTTCAGCAACACAGAATTAATTGTTTAGCACAAAAAAAAAAAGGTTCCCAAAAGGGAACATGCCAACGTGAGCGATCCGTGTGTTCTTATTGTTTCAGGGGCACACCTGCAGGCACATCCAATTAAACCAGATAAGAATCTCTCAAACGATCCCCTCAGAATAAACTCGTGCAGCTGATGAGCCGCAGGCAAGAGTAGAAGATTGAAATAGTGTCGTGACACTATCATAAGATAACTTGAGACTTGAGATGAGGTTTATTTATAGCAGCAGTGTTGACTGTATTCAACTAATAGCTTGTTTTAACAGTTTCTTATATGTCAATGCTACCATCAACGAGGGTGTAACGTTATATTACGGTCTAATAAAGAGACTGCTAGTTATTTAGGCAATATTCGCCGTAGTTAGTAAACTGCAAATGTCCGGCGGCTCTAACGTTAATATTTAAGTAACTGGTGGGAGATCTAAGTTAAGTCTTTAGTCTAAGTTAAGTGACGTTTACACAATACGAACGCTAACGTTGGTTTTGGTTGGAGAGCTAACGTTCGACAACACGTTATCGCCATTTCAAGCTAGCGGGGTAGTTTTGGTTTCTTACCGTTTTGTTGGCTGCTACGGATGTCTAACCTTTCCGTTGAAGAAAGGGACGTTCTTAATCAACTTTATAAGGGCAAAGAGACGTCTAAATACAATGAAACCGGTCCCGTTAGGTAGCAGTACTAGACATTTCGTAGCTGTCATGCATCTCTGGTGTTGACACGAGAAGCGCCTCCTCTCTTCTTCCGCTGTTTGTCCTTCAAAGAGGACGCGTCAGAGTTCAGGCGGAAGTGACGTCACTACAGCGATGCGTCTGACTCCAATTTCATTGGTTTAAATCAGTAGGGGATAGTGTTTAATCTCGACAATATGCAATTATCAACTTTTTACTTTACTGTAACTGTTTTTGTAACATTACCAAAAATGATTATTTAGTACGTTTTCCAGTTTTATGTTTGTACCTCTCGTTTTGCTGTTTTACATTCATTTTATAAATTTAATTCGTTTTTAAGTGAATTGCTTTCTTTGAGATATTTAACTACTTTAGCCACTTTTTTGAAAAGAGTTCATTCACTCCCATTTCATCATCACGAAATAAAACATATTTGGATAATATCTGGCGAACTTTCAGGTAGTGCATTTATTCTAAGGATAACATGAAACGTGTCTGGGTGTGTTAACACTGAGTGGACAGGTCAATGTCAAAGGTTTCTCTTTTTTATTAGGAGGTGGCCCCTTAGTGGCTGTGGGTGGTGCGTTTACTCGGAGCCATTCAAAGGTTTAGATTGACGTGAGACAAGTCGTCGCTCTGCTTCAGCAGAGAAAGGGAAATCACGTCTGGATCTCGGGAAATATCAAAGAAACCAAACATTAACCCGAGTTATGTCTCCGGGCGGATTCCCATAACTGCCAGGATGCGCTTCATTTGATGGACACGGAGGCTGCGCCGGTTGAGAAACTTCTCTCGTGTCCGTAACTGGCTGAAACTATGTTCCCGGATATTTTGTGTGTGCTGTTATTCAGCACTGTGCACATCGCATCGTCTTTAGAGCTGCAACTAGGCATGTAAGTGACACTCTTCGATTTATATAATGTGTTTAATTTGATTTTAATTTCAATTGCATTGAATGGTCAGGTGAGTGAGATTTGTACGCATATGTGCTTTAAAATAAGACGGAAACAACGCATTACAGTGTATATGTAGCACTCTTTCATTTTAACTAAGAAATTTAAATATATCTTCTTTTCCTTTTTTTTTGTTGAAAATGATTTATCTTGTCTGTCATTCTGTTTCTTTGTGGTTAATTCTCCTCAATGCCCACTAGGCGTCGCTCTTTCAGGTCCCCTAAGAGGATGCATATGTTTTTGTTGTGACGAGCTTCTGCGAAATAACTTCCAATCGACTGCGATGTTTCTTTGTAAACTGCAGAGGTTTCCCGACTTAAATAGACTTTGCTGGACATGATTGAAAGAATCGTTTTCACTACAGGAGAAACAGAACACCTCCGCTAATTAACTTCAGGCTGCTGTGTATTGAAGCCAGATGGTTTGTGAAGGAGGACATCTCTGGACAGTTTATATAGGATATCTGCAGATTATTAGGTCTGCTTCTGACAAGGTTCTGTGCAGTTCAAACCTCTGTGCACATTGACATGCAAACAATTTTGGAGAGGAAAAAAATGAATATATGAATTTGCTGTGGAAGTTAAGTGGTTGTTTATGAGGTGCTGCGGACAGGTTTTTTTTCTGGACCTTTTCTGGACAAGCACATTGTACCAAACAGGAAGCTGTATAATTGTGGTTAAGTAATGAGCTGAAGTCCATGCGGCTGAACATGAAGAACACGTGGGGGTTCATGTTTGTTTGCACACACATACATTAGCTGTGCAGCAGACTCACATCAACATTGGAAGCATCAACAATATAAGTATATGACAACTATATGGCTTTATTTCTTTATTTCTTCCATGCACCTCATTCCTGTTTGCGTTGCACTCAGAGGTGTCATCATATATAGTACATATATCTGTACTCAAAGTAATGTGACCGTCACTGCCTTGCAGGGTCATCTTTTGCTTTTGCATCTTTACCTCCAGAGCACAAGCTCTGCTTTCATTGCTGACATTGCTGATCTGCCAACTACATGTGATGGTTGCGTTAACTTTAATTTAATATGATTATTCATATATATTTAAAGTACATATCTTGCCTGGACTTGTCACATTCCTTGAGCCATTGTGTTGTTGTTGTTTTTTTTCATACACAGGCCAAATGTTTGTGCTGACCAGGAGATGTCCATGATGGCGGCCCGTCAGCCTTGTGTCCAGGCTTTTTCCCGTATGATTAAAGTTTGGAAGCAGGGATGCACCAACCACAGATGGTGTGCGGGCTACGAGAGAAGGTGGGAGCAGATCAAAATATTTGCTTTTACATACACATAACCCAATCAAATATGAGTATAAACATATATTGTAATTTCCCCAAAAACCTGTGACAAAAAATGTATAATTCTATTTTTCAGGACATCTTACTACACAGTGTACCGGCAGGTGTACAGCGCGGATTTACGCACAGTTTATAAGTGCTGCCCTGGCTGGACTCAGGAGGGTGAAGAGATGGGCTGTCTGCACAGTGAGTAATGGCATCACATAAACATGCTGCATGTATCACAAAGGCATAGTTTTTATGTCGCTATGAAGCAGTTGTGTATTTACCAAATTGATAATTGTTGAACTGGAGAGACTCAAAGTAGCTGATCACCCATACCCGAAAATATGTGGCATATGATATGTGGTCTCCACAGGGGTTTGTGGTGTCAATACATGTTTCAATGGAGGCCAATGTGCAAAGACCGAAGACCGGATGTGCCAATGTCCACTGGGCTTCAAAGGGACGCAATGCCAATATGGTGAGTTAACTCCCTCCTGATTAGAAAAGGTTTGGCCGTGTTCATAAACCTCCATGTTCCACTCGTCGCGGCCCTTCGTATTTAGTATGTAACAAGCTCCGTGCAGCTTTGTGAAGAAACAAACCGACTTACATCTTCACAGAACAACGTGTTGCTTGAACAGGCCCAGTTCCGACCTCATGCCTTCACTTTGCAACAGCAGAGCGAGCCCGTAGCGCCGCTGTGATTGGACGAGGCTGCTCTGCGGGGTCTCCGGGTAGTTAAAGGTAGAAGACGTGCTTTCTGGGAGGAATGGTTTCCTTTGAAGACCACAGCCTGGAGTGCTGCGGCCAACCCGGACCTGAGACTCCTCCCTATAAAACCTGTGAGACAGTGTATTCAGATCTGGTCTAGTATGGTTCAAAAATGTAAAAGACAGTGATTGAGGACACGGAAATGCGCTTATTTGACATTCAGATTGAGAGTTAGACGAGAAGACGGATACCGCCGTCATACCTGTAAAGTAAACAAGGCCAAAACCAGCATAAAGACACAGGGTTAGAAACAGGAGGGTCCGGCTCTTTTGAACAGTAGCAAAATCCACCAGCCAGCAGCTCTAAGGCTCACTGATTAACACCGTGTAGCTCAATGACAATTTGCCTTTTTACGAGGGACTAAGTGCCAGACTGGTTCTTGCCCTGGAGCCGTAATTCCTGGAGTCTCCGTTAGTCGGCTGGCAACCATAAAAACATTTCACCTCAAGCTTTTTGATATGCTCATTCAAGCTCCTGAACAGTCTTGACCCTGAGAGGGAGCCTCGGGTCCGTCGTCATCAAAGGGTGAAAACTTCCAGAAGGCTTCTGCACATCGGATGATCGCTCTTTTGTCTCGAGAGCATCATCTCGTCATCGTCTGCCTCCCACATGCTTCCAAACACACACACACACTCACACACTCTGGAGGGGGGTCTCGTGTTTGATTCCTTGTGTCTCCAGAAGAACAGACCTGCGTGCCTGTGGGGCGTGAAGCACTTCTCCGTCCTTCGCAGGAAGGTGTGGTTTGTTTGTGGAAGGCAGCTCTCCGGTGCGTTTGTTTTCACACGGGCTCTTTGGTTTTCACACATCGGAGTGGCAACCGAGGAACAGAACGAGATATGTGATCTGCTCACACTTCCTCTAGCTTCTCTCCCTTTTCCCACGCTTCCCGTGCCTCGAAGTCATATCGCTCTGCTCTCTTCGGTAAAACGTTTTTCCTCCTCACATCTCTCGAGACGGATTCGTCCTCCCTCTGCCGGAATCATTACACGAGGAGGGAGTCAGCCGAGCTCCTGTGTTCAGTTTGGTTATTCTCACCGAACCTGCGCTTGGCGGAGAGACGCGACTGGTGCTCCTGTGTTTCAGGGTTACGCTTTGACTCAAAGGGTTAATTCTGTCATCATTCAAAGTACAGATACTTAGATATTTTTCCAGAATGCTTTTGGAGAATTCTGTGAGGGTCGTGTCATGATAAGTGTTGAAATGGCTTTATGTGTGACAGCGGCAACTAACATTATTACTGCAAGTTTGCAGGGTTATATAAGAACAACGTACACAGTTGAACTAAAGTGGGATAATATTTCAGCATTGTGAAATACTTTAACTGGTCCCTAACTGAATACGCAGAGCTTTGGTGGCATTTGGAAAAGTCATTTATTAGATGCTGAGAGCACAGATGTGAAAACCGTCCCTGGTCGTGTTATTGACCATCTTTCAATACATGTGAGCGATTATAACCTTTGTGTATTCCTTGATGGACAAAATGAGTATTCTGGATGTGTCCATGTACATTCCAGAGTTACAAAGAGAGACTGGGTCTCTAACTCAAACAGGGAACGTGGATAAATGTGTGTGCAACCAGGGTTTCACCGGGGAATCCTCTCCTTTATTGGATTTGCCTTGTGAGCACCGATATTGCACAGTGACAGACTTATTACTGTCCTCCGTGCCGTTCACGGTGGAGAACAAGCAGATACAGTAGAGAGAGGGGAATGTTGACCTCGCTTCTTCAGCTGGGTTTGCTTCATGTGCGTATATCCTGCAAAGCCTGTTAAGCGTGCAAGAGCAGCTCTGTCCGTCTCTCTGTCTGGTGTCTGCCTCCCCCTGGTTGATTTTCTGGGTGTCCGTCAACTTGCCAATGACTTGTGTGTGAAGGATGTTGCTCATAGTGATGGCTCTGCAGAGAGAATCGCAGATTCCCAAATCTACTAGTTTCTATTCTCAGCATGCAGAGAAAAAGCTCTAAAATCTACATATGAAAGAAGCTCAGCTTTTAGCTGGTGAACCCAGTGGAGGATATAATGAGACGAGTTCTTGGAGCTTAAAGCTAAAAAAGGGAATATTGGACTGCAATTAAAGAGATCAAATGTGATTATTACTGCGACTATCCTACTTTTTTGGAAACACTGAGCGGCAGATGATCACTCACCATTGCACCATCAACACTTATGGGTCTGCAGGCTCAAGATGAATCATTAGGATCAGAGGGGCTGCTGCAGATTCACAATATCAGCCTCAGCGCAATTCACTCCAGCGAGACGTCAGGAGGAGAGTTTACACAAAGATGTGTTAAAAGAAAAGTCTGGTGCCGGTAGTATTTTGTGTGTGAGGACAGAAACCATCTGGTGCTCTCTGTAAAAAAAGGTTTTCAGCGCACTTTGTAGTGCAGTGATCATGGACATTCTCTAAGACTGGATGCAGTTTAACTAGAGGTTTTAATGAGACAACTAGGAATGTAGGCAGATATCGTGGGGAGGGAACAGTAGAGGTATTAAACACAAGAAGTCACTACATAATTATAACACTATTTTGACATACACAAACCTCCAATGCTTAAACTGAAGTTTTTAAGAAACTATCTATTCCAATAAGCTTTACAATTGTTGCAATTGAAATATAAATCCCATTTATCCCACTTGAACACTTGAACTGGAGTGATTAATCCCCAGGACCTTGAGCTGTCTCCCGTGTACGCTTGGTTTCTTTCCCAAATATAGATTAAACACACCTGTACATGTTTATGTCCATATGTGTAGACTTAGACCAATGAGATAGAGTTCGTCTGTATCTCCTTTACAGTAGAACACAGAAACTAGTCAAAACATTAGGTGTTAGCTTATTGAAGGACATACATTAGCCAAAAATATACGCGCTTCAGAAGTGCTTCTGAACCGTAGAGCCTGTGAAAGAATTCAAAATGGAAACAAACCATCTGTTTACATCCTGTAAATGAACTCAAAAATGCAGTCAGGAAAAAAATGTCATTGCAAAAATGTAATAAATATAGTAGAGATCATTTTTAAAAATCTTCTGGAAGTAATTAACTCAAAGATGCAGCTAAGAAAGATTTTAACAGCACACAAAAGGAATACACATAGTAGAGATCCTTTCTGGTGCAACGTAAGGTGAAAAATGATGTCTTTGTAACTCCTGACGTTGTTCTCACAACTTCAGGGAACAATGATGTCTTTTGCAGGTCTGGAATGATCCTGGAATGATCCTAAGTTAACCACCATGCATAGTTTAATGCCTCCTCCAGTCTTTCCATTCAATAAGTTCCACTGTGGAGGTCCAGGTCTATTATAAGCCTTCTGTTTTGAGTGAGAAGAACCAATCAAACATATTTTCCTCAGTATTTCTAAGACTGTTTTAATTAAATTAAATCATTGTCAGAGAATGAGGTATAAAGCTTTATAATATATGCTTGCATGAATATTTATGCACTAAACTCTCGTTCTCTTAACACTGTTTAATCCGGGACAATGGACATGAATCTAAAGGCAGTAAACAGATTGGAGGGACATCATTGTGTCAAAACTGTGCTGCAGATTGGGTTTTATAAATAAATAATGGGAACCATATGACTTCAATCATGGTGGTCATTATTGTCGTTTTGTTCTTTCCTCACCAGAAGGCCATTTGTGTAGCTGATGTGGTGCTGAAGCATCAGATGAATTTATGTCACAATGACCTTTATTGCATAAAGAAAACTGTAGCACAGACCTCATGATTGCCTCTGGAAGGTCGGTCTTTGCTTTGGCCAGCAGCTCTCTCGTTCTGTTTATTAGAGGTGAGTAAAAAGGTTCACCTAAATCTATTTTAACACCATAAGCCATTAGTGGTGAACGGATCCCTTTAAAGTTGGCTGCGCAGGTGTAATACGAGCTAAATCATCAGAATAATCAGCACATTTTCCCCCAGACGTTTTCTTTGGACAACCAAAACTAAGCAAATATATTGTGAAGATATTACTCAAGAAAATCATTATGGTAATTATCAGCTGTTGAAACCTGACTTTAAAGCTGCTGCGGCTTCTGGCAGAGTACATCAGACCAGCAGTGATGGAGACCAGCCTTACTGAACATCACAGTCTACACTTAAGTGTTCAGAGTTGCACATGGAAAGTAAAAAGAGTACGTAAAGGCCACCGATGCCTGTTTTGAGGATCATTTGATATATTGTAAGGTAGACAGATTTTTCATTACAAATCTTTCCTCTGGAATGTAAAATGCCAGCTGTCTTATTGTTTCAGCCAAGAGGAAAAAAACACGAAGACAGTGTTCCATATGCAATGTCAGGCACAGCTGTTCTTCACTTTAAGCGTTATTATAAAATATATATACGTATATACAAAAAGCCGATTACAAAGTAAGGTGATCAACGATAAACCGTCCTGATTTCATACCTGAGGTCTCCCAATAACTGCTTGATGTAGGAATCATGTGCCAACACACAGACTTGTAGACATGGCAGGAGGACAGACCGGGCTGTACAAGTGCTACATGCTTAGAATAGCTATCAGAGGAAGACGCACATTAAAGCCCTAATGGCTGCCATATGTCAGGGAGGTTCTTGCACACTAAACAAGCATACCCTCATCCCCCCCGAATGCATCAAGGCACCATTGTTTACTAGGTTAATGCAGAGCGTGTTAGAGCTAATGGTCTGTGGGATTGACCATGTGCTCCCAAAGCTCACTGTGAGATT